CGCCCGGCCTAGACTGGGTAACTTATAAACGGAAATTTACAGCTCACAGTTCTGAGGGCTGGAAAGTCTAAGATGAAGGTGGAAGCAGATTTGGTGTCTGGTAAGGGTTTGTTCTCTGCCTTGTGGGTAGTGCCTGGTTGCTACATCCTCACATGGTGGAAGGGGTAAATGAGCTGCCTTCAGCTTCTTTTATAAAGGCACTCATCCCATTCATGAGAACTGAGCCTGACTTCCCAAAAGGCTGCCTGTTAATAGTCTCACATTGGGGATTGTTTTAACATATGAATTTGGGGGGACACATTCAGAACTTTACCTTCATCTTGGTCTTTCCACTGCCCCCAGCATTCTCCCAGACAAATGCACATCCTGCAGGTACACACAGATGTACTCAGCAAACTTCAAATATGCTAGACACTTACCTTGGGGCCTGAACTCTCACAATTCCTCCTTGGAATAACTCCACCTCCTCCTACTTGTTTAGTCTGGTGAAATTTCTCTTATCCTTCAAGGCTCAGCTTAAAGGCCAGCGTCTCTGAAAAACCGTTCCTATTGCCTCTTCCCCTGATTGGAGTCTGCTCTCCTGAGCTTTTCTTGCTACTTAACAGTGCTACTCCAAATTTACAAGTCTACAATTGTTTTTCTTACATCTTATTTGTTACAGCTTCACATTTAGTAAGTCTTAATAAATGTTTTTCAATGAAGTCAACTGCTTTAAAATAATTATAATATTTTTAACGTTACAAAAACATAGTTTAACAATAAAATGGGTCTTGCTAGCCCAACACGGTGTCTCATGCCTGTAGCACTTTGGGAAGCTGAGGCAGGAGGATTGCTTGAGTCCTGGAGTTTGAGACCAGCCTGGGCAACATACGGAGACCCTGTCTCAAAAAAAAATTAGCCAGGCATGGTGGCACAAAACTGTGGTCTCAGCTACCCAGGAGGCTGAGGCGGGAGGATTGCTTGAGCCCAAGAGGTTGAGGCTGCAATGAGCTGTGATTATGCTGCTGCATTCCACCTTGGGCAGCAGAGCGAAACACTGTCTCAAAATCATCACCATCTGGGTCCTATATCTCAGATTGTGCTAAACAAATCTCAAACACACACACAAACATACCCCCAGAACGCGAGACAAAAATTTTCTTTAGGAAATAGTGGTAAAGGTTGTTTTCTCAACTTATAAGGAGAAATTCATTCAGAACATTTTATTTTGAGATGGAGTCTCACTGTTGTCCAGGCTGCAGTGCAGTGGCACAATCTCTACTCACTGCAACCTCCACCTCCTGGGTTCAAGCGATTCTCCTGCATCAGCCTCCTGAGTAGTTGGGATTACAGGTATGTGCCACCACACCTGGCTAATTCATTTGGATTTTTTTTTTTTTTCAGTAGAGATAGGGTTTCTCCACGTTGGCCAGGCTAGTCTCAAACTCTTGACCTCAATTGATCCACCCACCTCGGCCTCCCAAAGTGTTGGGATTACAGGAGTGAGCCACAGCACCCAACCCAGAACATTTTATTCTTAATGCTAGTATTTAGAGTAAATTTAGATTCAAGAGCATTTTACTTACATTTTATTTTTGTTATGGAAATGTCTAACATACATGAAAGTAGAAAGTCCAGCACAATGATTCCTGAGTACCTATCACTCAGCTCCAGCAATGGCAGCTGCTGTTCTTTCAAATGATGCTAATTCTAAAACACTTTTATTCACTTAAAAACAGAGTTCAAAATCAATTAATTTAAAAACACCCTTGTGTGTGGTGTTGGAAAACCAGCCATGGTTTTAAAATAACGTTATTAACAATCATCAGTGGACAGCTGAAGGCAGAAAGCCACCATTTTCAACTGAGTGCCCTGTTGGGGAGAGGGAGTCTCAGACTGCCCAGGCAGGGGAGGGGACTGGCAATAGAGGAATCAGTACTCTGCCCTGCTGCTCAAATTCCCCAGTAGCTAGTTGAGCCAAGATAAGAAGAGCAATATGTGGGTCACAAGGTTCTTCAAGGAGAAATGGACATCAGAGGTTTTGACTAGGGTCCCAAATTCACAAGGAGCTTCATATTTAGACTTACATGACATCTTGAGTTACATTGTTTTGTGAGTGTGTGTTAAGGAATAATTTGTTTAGTGTAAACACCTAAGATATTCTACAGTTTGTGTGACTTTGGGGCATTTATTGTCATGCACGTCCGTGTGAAGAGACCACCAAACAGGCTTTGTGTGAGCAATAAAGGTTTTTAATCACCTGGGTGCAGGCGGGCTGAGTCCAAAAAGAGAATCAGTAAAGAGAGATAAGGGTGGGGCCGTTTTGTAGGATTTGGGTAGGTAAAGGAAAATTACAGTCAAAGGGGGGTTGTTCTCTGGTGGGCAGGAGTGGGGGGGTCACAAGGTGCACAGTCGGGGAGCTCTTTGAGCCAGGATGAGCCAGGAAAAGGACTTTCACAAGATAACGTCATCACTTAAGGCAAGGACCGGGCATTTTCACTTCTTTTGTGGTGGAATGTCATCAGTTAAGGCAGGGACAGGGCATTTGTACTTCTTTTGTGATTCTTCAGTTAATTCAGGCCATCTGGGCTTATACGTGCAAGTCACAGGGGATGCGATGGCTTGGCTTGGGCTCAGAGGCCTGACATCTATCAAATTTTAAAAAGTGGTTCCGGAATCCTCGGTAAAAGGAAGTGGCTTGAGGTGCTCTTGACCGCTAGAAGGCTCTGATAGAAGTTAGGTTAAAAAACAAGCAGCACTTTTCAATTTTGTCCAAGATTTTCTTCACTACTAGCTCCTGGCTGAAGCTGATTGAAATAGTGTCAAGGATAGAATTGGGTTCAAGAGTGACAAAAATGGGGAAAAAAAATTAAATTAAAAAAAGACCCAGAAGCCAATTAAATAAGATGGTTGGAGAGGCAGGAAGGGAAGTAAAAAGGAAAAAATAAGAGATAGGAAGGGGGTGGGGCACACTGAGAAGAGAGTGGCTGAGAGGAGAGGAGCAGCGTTCTCTTGGGGTCCACAAAAGGAAGTCTGGACTTAATTTTATTTAATCCAAGTGCTTTTGGCTTTCTTAGAAAGCAGGACGCCAAGGCACAAAAAGTCAGGATCTTGATAATTAAATTTTTTTAAACTGGAAAGCAAATACCAGGATTTTCCCTAGAGACACACTCACCACAGGACACATGGGCGAGGGAGAGCCTGAATTGCTGTTTCTTACATAAACATTAAAACCCAAGGCTTTCCATCTCTCCCCACCCCTCTCCCCCAACCCCCAAATGGTAGCTGTGAGAGCCCTCAGTGAGACTCCTAGGAGGGCTTCCCACAGTCTGGGGCCACTCTGCTTCTCTGTAAGGGGGAAAACAAGGGGAGGAATTCAGGGTTCCCTACTAGGCTGGCGCTGACCCGCGACAGGAAGCAGCCTCTTGGAGAAGAAAGGAGGAAGAAAGAATTGCTGACTTGATTCCCCTGCCTCCCAAGGAACCCGGGAGGAGGGCACTGAGGAGTTGGTGGCATCCCGGAGAAAGGGTGGCCTTTGTGAAAAGTGCAGGCTCCACTGGATGCTTGGAATGACTGCTCCTGCCACACTTTCTAAGGTCTCCCCCAGGAAGGGGGAGGAGGGCAGTGAGAGCGGGGTGAGGACTTGCTTCACCACACAAGGAAAGCTGGTGAACCAGTGAGCACTGGGTGAAGAAAGAGAACTAGGGTCTGGAGAAGAGCCAGTGGAGAAAGCCTGTGGGGCGGCTCCTTAATGAGCTCATCCATCCAGGCAGGTTAAATGGCAGGCAACTGGGTTGCCCAGGAAGCAGTTCGCACAGCTGAAGTTTAGAGACTAAACAATACGCAATCACGATAATTTCCTCTGCCTGTGACTCATCTCCGAGGGTGTCCAGGTGATGGTGCAAAGATAGACTGAGACAGAAGGTCTTTCTGTTCTAGTAGCAAATGCGGAGAGCAGGAGCAATGATATTAAGTCAGGAATGCATTTCTTGGAAATCTAAAAAAAGTGTTTTGTCACTTTATTGATAACATTTCAAAACTATTTTTGACTTGCATTGCCTAATTACTTTGATTTTTAGGTAGTGCAAAGCTCTTTGTAATGCATAACAAACACATGCTTCCTCCCGCACCCCACTTAGGGAGAAAACAGAATGTTGGGCTTTTGCAGCCTAACAAGTTTATGTAACAAGCGGCATCCTTTTTGCTGTTTATGCATGAAGGGAAGCCTTGGGGAAAGTGGATGAAGTGTGGAATTCCAAGATTTTAATAAATATCAAACACAAGAAAAACTCTCTACTTGGTTGGGATGAATCATGTTCTTTGCCAACTGCCTGTTAAAGCATTTTGTTTCCATCTCAGGGAGGAGAGGAGGGAGGCTAGAAGGAGGAAAGAAACATCTTCAGGGTGCTCTTAGCAATGCATTTCTGCTTCCTGGCTCGTGGCCTCTTTTCTCTTTAGAACTGTTTTTAATCTTTGTTGGAGAACAAAGCCTCTTTCAACATTCCTTAGCTTACAGATGGGTAATGAGGCAAGAAGGTGAAGTATCCTAACTGGCACCCAATATGAACCCAGTTCTCAAGTCCACTTATTTTTTTAAACCTCACTGTCTCTGCTATAGGGTTAATTCTCCTCCCGCCCCCTCTCTCAGGCCGCTTCTCCTCCCCTCCCTGTGCATTTGCCGGCACAGAGCTCGTCTCAGAGGGGAGAGAAGAGCCATTTGATCCTGGCCTCACATATGGCCTTTAGGCCTTATCTCTCGATGAGCTTATGCAAGCAGCCATTACAGTTGCATGCGTGTAAAGAACACTGGTAATCAAGGCGGCCCTTTAAAATACAGCACAATTACAACTTTTTGTATCTATTTGGCATGTATTCATTTAAAAAATACATTTAGGGCCTCAAAAGAAGTGGCCCAGGCCTCTTTCACCCGATAAGCCTTGCGTGCGCTGTTAGCAAACTCACACAAAGTGAAGAGGGACCTTTCTCTGCTACACAGCGTCCTCCGTGGTGAGCTGCAGGGAAGCGTTCTCAGCAGGGAGGGTCGCCCTCACCAAGCAGCCAAAGGGAAGAGGACGGAATCTTATCTCGGAGGGACACCCTTAGTCTTCAGAAGGAACTTTATTTATTTTCTGTTTCACAGCGATCTGTGGAATGTGTGGGTTCCCTGAAGAGGTGGACGGACCCCCGGGGTCGTGCGTTTTCTCAGCCCTGGACCCCTAGCGGACCAGAGCTCAGGGCCAGAAATGTTGCGATTCCGAACACTTTCCCGTTCTTCTGAGAGGAGCCGCCCGGCAGACGCTCATCATTAAGAGGCAACGTAATTAACAACGAATGTTTTCCCTTGGCGCTAATGCGAACACCGTGGGGAACTGCCAAGTCTGGTAGGGGAATCGCAGCCGGGGGTGTCTGGGGGAAGCCAGCCGGTGGGCCTGGGATTGCTTGTAGGCGCAGCAGCAAGGAGGGCGAGGTCGAGTGGAATAGAGGTCAGAGACCTTGCTGAACTGCTGGCCTTTTCATGTTTCGGACCCTGAGAGTAAGCTGAGAGAATGGATGGGGTCAAGGCTGGGACAGGCTCTTGGCTACTGCCTGTGGGAGGGGATCTGGGCGGGAAACTGAGACCGGGCGGAAAGGAGGGAGGCAGACCGCTCGCTCTAGGCGCTGAGGTCCGACACCCGCTTGATTTGTCAGTGCCGCCAACAGCCCTCCTCCTGTTGTCAGCAAGGACAGTCGGGAGGGCCTGCTGAGGGCCAGGCACAGTGCAGGGGCGAGCGCCCGAAGGGATCAGCCGCTGGTCTCTGTGCCCAGGGGTTCAAGGCCTGGGAGGAGACGGGCTTTGAAGAGACTTATAAAACAGTGGTGGGTGCTAATTTAGACATATTCCAGACATAGTCACAGGGCGGTCCCGACCAGAGGAGTTTAAGTCAGTGTTACAATGCTTTATTTAATTACTATTATTTTTGGAAGGCTGTGTGCACCTAGAGGAGGCCAGGGGCTATCTGTGTCTGTTCACTGCTCTATCACTCCCACCTGGGATAACTCTTGGCAAATATGATGCCAGCACCCATTGACCAGGTGCTTAAGATATATAAGGTTGGTGCAAAGTATTTATATGGTGCAGTCATCATATAAATACTTTTGGCATATAAATGTCATCATTTGGCAGTCATCCTCAGCATAGCCTTGAGAGAGATTAGCCCCATTTTACAGATTATCAAACTAAGGCAAAGGATAATAGTGAATCTGGGTCTGAATGTAGTCTGTCTGGATTTTAAAACCTATGTTTTAAAATCATAGTATGAGGCATAAATTGTCTCAGAACTTGAAGAATGACTAGGAGACCAGGAGGGTTGGGTCAGGGGGAATTTTTGCTTTTATTTTCATGGTTTTGCTTCTCAGGTGTTGAGAGTGGTGCACCCTAAAAGTCCCACTCATGTTTTGGTTGCCTGTGCTTGAGGGATATTACTCAAGAAATCTTTGCCCAGTCCAATGTCCTGGAGCGTTTTCCCATTGTTTTCTTGTAGTAGTTTCATGGTTCGAGGCCTTGGATTTAAGTCTTTAATCCATTTTGATTTGATTTTTGTATATAGTGAGATGGAGTCTAGTTTCCTTCTTCTGCATATGGATATCCAGTTTCCCCAGCACCATTTGTTGAAGAGACTGTCCTTTCCCCAATGCATGTTCTCGGCACCTTTGTTGAAAATGAGTTCACTGTAGATGTATGAATTTATTTCTGGGTTCTCCATTCTGTTCCATTGGTCTATGGGTCTGTTTTCATGCCAGTACCGTGCTGTTTTGGTTATAATAACTGTAGCATAATTTAAAGTCAGGTAACGTTCCTCCAGTTTCATTCTTTTTGTTCGGAATGGCTTTGGCTCTTTTGGATCTTTTGTGGTTGCATATAAATTTTATAATTTTTTCTATTTCTATGAAGAATGTCATTGGTATTTTGATAGAGCTTGCAGTGACTCTGTAGAGTGCTTTGGGTAATATGGACATTTTAACAATATTGATCTAGTCCATGAACGTGGAATATCTTTCAATTTTTTTGTGTCTTCTTCAATTTCTTACATCAGTGTTTTACAGTTTTCATCATAGAGATGTTTCATTTTTTTGATTAATTCCTAAGTATTTTATTTTATGTGTACCTATTGTGAGATTACTTTCTTGATTTCTTTTTCAGATTGTTCAGCGTTAACATACTGAAATGCTACTGATTTTTTGTAGATTTTGTATACTTCAACTTGACTGAATTTATCAGCTCTAATAGTTTTTTGGTGGAGTCTTTAGGTTTTTCCAAATATAAGATTTTATCACCAGCAAATGAGGATTATTTGACTTCTTTCTTTGCATTTGGATGCTCTCGCTCTCTCTCTCTTTCTTTCTTTCTGCCACTCATGTTTTATATTTACTGAGGTTCAACAGGTTTTGGCCCAATTGCCTGTCTCAATTCTGAAGTCAGCATCTCAGGCACTATTGTTCATGACGCAGAAAGGCAATGAGGAAACAAAAAGGGGAAAACTTGATTCTAACATCCCTGTACAGAATTATATACAGTGTGAAAGCAAAGAGGTGGGGCCATATACAGTTGGGCAAATGTAAACCAAGTTTATTTTTGCTGCCCTGTGGAATTGTACATTCTCTCATCTAGGCCTTTTTAATCTTTTAGATACCTACCTGCTTTCTTTTTGTCTAGACCTGTACAGTACTTAGGAAAAGAACTGTAACTCAAACATGGTAACGTGCAAATAGCTAATATTTGTAACTTCAACAAGCATTTAATGAGCTTACCCTTGTTAAACTAAAATCTGGCCTGAGAAAGCCTCTGTACTCACATACTTGAGTCCTTATGGACAAACCGTAACCTAACTTAGTAGGTAGACAAACTATGAACCTGATGTAGGAGTATATAACAAGAGCTGAGTCTCAGCCAATCCTGAGGCAGAAGAATAGGATCCATTCACAGGCGGCCAACTGTTCAAACTGTGTCCAAATAAGGCAAAGGCTGAGCTGTAACCAATCTGGCTGTTTCTGTACCTCACTTCCGTTTTCTATATGTCACCTTCCTCTCTCTGTCCATAAATTTGCTCTGGCCACGTTGTATTGCTCGAGTCGCTCCAAATCTGTAATTCTGAGGGCTGCCCAGTTTGCGAATTTTTTTTTTTCTTACTTCATTTTTACAATGGGAAAGAGGAGAGAAAGAGTATAGATTTTTAAAAAGGGAATAGGAAACTTACGTCTTTTAAGACCTTTTCGTGATTAGAAGAGAGCATGTATATGAATAACTGGGTTCTAAATCTTGGATATTTTGAGATCATAAGTCAGGCCTTTTCTCTAAGTTCTTTTCCTCCCCCTCTCTAAGGCAAGGGATCTGGCTGAGTGGGGAAATTAGGAGGAGGCTGCAACCCTTTATGACTTTTATATTTAAAAGTCCAAACTCTTAGGCAAAGGAAACTCCCTAGGACAGATGATCCCTCTTAGAAGAATAGAGGAGAAGAGCTAGTGCTTCCTAACACCCCAGAATCTATTAGTTTCTGGAAGCAGAGGGGCTCCACTGGCCTGCTGGCTTGCATGAAGAAGTAGTAAGTGCTCAGATTAGAAACGATTGTGTGTGGTTTAGGAGTGGGTGGTCACACCATGTATTGGCCAAACCAGGACACATTTGACAGTGAAAGGGGGCGCTATTAATAATTACGCTGGGACAATAAGCATAAACCAGTACTGTCCCAGGCAAACTGGGATATACAGCAGAATGAAACATACGCAGCTTCAGAAACTAGTAGAATGCCCTAAGCAGGGTGCAGAAGTACCAAATCACTGGGCCTGAAGGGCCATGCACATAGGAGTGATGGGTGGGTAACCCAGTGTAACCTGGGTGATAATTAATTGATGACCCCTGGAGCCCTCTCCTTTCTCTCAGGCAATAAAATGATTACTGTTTATTCATTAAACGTGGAAAGGAAAAAGGAGGGAAGGAGCAACTAGATTGTAATAAACTGTAAGCCTCGAAAGTGCAGGGATTATGTCCGCTTTGTTCATCTACTTCTAGCAGAGGGATTTCAAAGTAAAACCCGATAACTATTGAATGAATGAATGAGGTAAATCTGTATCCTGGGAATAACGGTGGTACTAATAACAGACATAGAGGGTGTAGCAGGGAGGAGAGTTTTGGTTTTGAAAATATTGGCCTTGTCCAGGAGCATGCCTGTGGATCATGCCTGTAATCCCAGCACTTTGGGAGGCCAAGATGGGAGGATCGCTTGAGGCTAGGAGTTGGAGACCAGCCTGGGCCTCATAGCAAGAGCCCATCTCTACAAAAAATAAAATAATTGGCTGGAAATAAGCAGCCAGGACCTGTTGTCCTGGCTACTCAGGAGGCTGGAGCAGGAGGATAGCTTGAGCCCAGGAGTTTGAGTCTGCAGTGAGCTACGATTGTACCACTGCACTCCAGCCTAGGTAACAGATCCAGACCCTGTCTCCAAAAAAAAAAAAAAAAAAAAAAAAAAAAAGGGAATCCTGGCTTTGAGGTGGCAGTGATACAGTTTTCCAAGGAACTATCTAGGAATCATGTGGACATGTGCAACTGTAGCAAGGGAAGTGAGTGCTTGGGAGTCAGATGCATGTTAATAGTGACTGCTGGTCACAGGGAGAGAAAAGAATAAGTCAGAGTTCTAGGGGACTGGAGGAAATATAATCCAAGGGAGGCAATAAGGAATTATCAAACTACTGTATTTGAATTTCAACAAGGGTCAGAGTTTAAAGGAATGACTCTTTGAGGATAGAATTTAATTCATAGAGAAGGTGGGATGGGAGGGAATGGGTGAGAATGGACCGCTCAGTAGGTAAACATTATTCACTGGGGCAGGCTGTTAATTAGCCCCAGTATCGATTTTTTTCTTCGTTCATTTAGTAATAGAGGCCCTACACCCTCGATGAGTTTTTTTTCCTCAACAATTTACTTTGAAAATGTTCAAATAACAAAAATACAAGAATTTTACAATAAAAACAAATATACCCACCATCTAGATTCTACCATTAACATTTTATGGTTCTTGTTTGAGCACTAATCTATCCATCTATCCATTTTAAATGTTGACATATTTTTTTAAAAATTGCACTTTTAAATCCTTTGTGCCTGTCATTACCCAGAGTTCAATATTTGTTTAGTTTTTCTTTTGTTATAAAATTTAAATTCAATAAAATGCACAAATCTTAAGTGTATATGCACTGAATTTCCCCAAATAATCTAATAAGCATTTTATTATAAATATTAAAACAATATAACATAAACATTTTATTATAAATATTATAATTATATATTATAACATATAATAAACATTTTATTGTAAATTTTTTCCAAATATACATCATACTGAAAAGAATT